ACTCTGTTTTACTTTTCGAAAAAAATAAATAAAAAAGAAACAAGAAAGAAGACAAATAGAAAGCAAATCTATATGCCAATGCTATTGACTGGCTTTGTATACTATATATTTGCAGCATGTGCAAAAGGACATTATGCATTGTCGATCATTTGAACATTAACATTCGTTGTTTTTACATTTCACAATTTTGTTCGATTTCGAACAAACGCAAAATGCTATGCTATTTCTGCACTCAATATAGTTTGAATGACTTTTTGTTCGTACTCGATAAAGTTGATGAATTTTAAAGTTTATGTTTGATTTTCTGCAATATTTTTCATGCTCTCAATTTCAGCTACCATTCATGGAGTTAAAAAACTTTTATTGTGCATCTCTAATGCAGCAAAACAATAGGGAAAAAAGGTACGTAACAAAAAAAAAACAAAAAATAATTTATTCACAGAGAAAGAAAGAGAGGGATGATGGGAAAATCGAGATCCACGCCCACATACATTCATCAACCACAACGAAAATGTGGTACCAAACATATGGATTTGTTTAAATTCACTATTATACCCATGTTTCGATACAATCAAGCTTTGAACTAAGTAGCAGAGTCAGTTTTGTATACACTTTGATTAGAAAATCCACTGTTGTTACATGGTACATTGGGAATCTGATTACAAAGAGTGTGATGAATTTATTATTCATAAAAGTGTTGAAATCAAATACAAAGAACGGAACATTCCTTCGTTTCCGTTTTCACTGTCGCTTTCATTCTTTGCTCTCGGTTACGTTCAAAAGATTTCTCATTTAAATTCCCTCGAGAGAACGAGTGTGTGTGTGTACACTGGTATACATAAACGAGACGAAGTGCAAAAAAAAAATGAATTGTCTACAACATCCATTGGCGGCACGAATGAAAGAGTTCAGGATGCTCAAGTCAAATGGATTGGATCACAAAGAATCATTGAGTTTGCTATATATAAACTATATCGTATTGAAAACCGTGCATGACGTGACACTGAATGACAATTGTGAATACCAATACGCTTACTTTGTACGGTTAATTTATTAAAATTTATTCGGTTTAGAAAGGATATTCATCCGAGTGGAAAAAGAATAATAATAAAGACTTTGTTGTCAATCTCTTGAAACCCACAACACGCCACCGGATGGCGGATATACCTTACTTTGACAAGATACTGTGCCATCATTATTTTTGATTTGTTCCCTTTTTCTTTTTCTCAAGCCTGCTTTTTACAGTATATTTAAATTATTGTGAGAAAAGTACTGGGATCGCGTGTATTATTGAAAACGTTCGTTGTTCATATGCATGATGATAAATGCCAGAGATGTAAATTCAAATTGTCAATTTTATGTTATCTACTAAGTACACAAATTAGTGCGTTTATTTGATCATCAATCATATGAAATGTCAATCATTTAATGGTCACAAATGAAAAATATGTGTGTGAATTTTGTTGGGTAAATGTTTAATCTATTTTCATCAATATCACATTGATTTCAATAAACAAGATAATTCAGTGTTTGAATATTTCCGGTGATAAATGTTTACCTGTACATCTATCCTCTATAAACATCAATTTAAATTAGACAAGCATAACCCATCGTCAACATCTTGTCTTTCATTAAGATAAAATAAATGTTTGGTTCGATGAAGACGGAAGCAGTTGTAGGAAAAACTAAGTCTTTCGTATGTAAGACCATTTATACCATACATGGGCAAGGAAAAAATTTAAGAGGAGGTCCATCAGCCAATCAAAAACCTGGCAAATCTAGAGAAGTTTTCTCTCGAAAAACCGTATCAAAACGGAATTTTTTCGTTTTTTTTTTTGGAGATCACTTTTTTTTAGCGAAAAACTCTAGCAAATTTAAAGATTTCATTTCAAATTGAAGAGCAAAAGAAAAGGACTTCACTTTCGTGTGAAAAATCCTTAGCAAATCGAAAGATTTGAAAGATCGTCGGGAGGTTAACGATTTAAGGGAGGGGATTATCCCTTACACCCCCTGTGCCCATGCGGGCCTTACTTTGATAGTACTAGACTCCCCTTTTCTCCGTCGAAAAACGGAAAAAACACATTTTACATTTGATTAAATGATATCTTATTTGTTGTCCATGCAACAAATATACGTTGTCCACCCACACATTTATCTAGTGTAATGTGCTCGGTTCTATTTTGCGTGTGTGTGTGTGTGTATATCATTACATTTTATCCGGCTTATGTTGTATAAAATTCGTTGCCAAATCATTGTAATGTAAATTTGTGTGAATGTCAATTTTCGATTTTCCAACCCACAAAAACAATAGGCAATTGAAAATGTCGATCTACTAACTTTTGCATTTTATCAAATGTTGGAATAATCTGATGACGAGTTTGATAATAAAAGGTTTTTGATATCACTGAAAATTGAATAGAGCCTATACAATGTGCATGTATGTGTAGTATTTTAGTATGCGATTAAGTCTACTGAATTATCAGTATACCTCATTTTGTGTGAAAAGTCAACAATAAACTGTTGAACATTGTTGAAAAAGCGATCGAATACATATCGAGAGACGTGAATGTTGTCGCAAAAAGCGATGAGCATATTGGAGAAGGGGTGGCAACGAATAAAGATTGAAAAGAGAAATCAACACCGAATGGAGTGAACGCAAGAACAAGAGAACGATAGAGCGAAAGGCTATAACAATAACAACGATCTACATAATATGTAGATGATTTTGAAATACCATTATCGAAGCGGTATGTTGTTGTACGATTTACAGCTTGCTAATGCCGATACGATAAGAATATCCATCCAAATATCGTCTTTTATGTACGATGCACGCTATGCGTGCGAAACACTCAAAAACATTTAGCAGGTTAGCACATAATTAATGCGATGAATTATTAAAACTATTTTCCAATTCTTCTGTATAATGTATTAAGAGAAAAAGTTGATATTGTTAATACACATCGAATCGAGTCAAAGTTGAGAAAGAATTTATTTTACTGCGAACGAGAGATAAAGAAAACGAACCGATGCGAATATTTTCATTTATATTATAACGACACAACAGAAAAGCTATCGGCATAATGAATTTTACATTCTTAATGCGAACACAGTTAATTGACAACAAATCAGAGAATAAAGTGCCGTTCATTTGTACCAAAAAGAACAAAGAGAACAATATGCGGAAATTCAGATAGGAAAACAAGAAAAGACGAATACAACCAGAGAAATGTGTGCTTTTTACTTTGAGCCATGCAGTCAAATATATAATATGTCATTGAATTGTATTGCCTATGATTATTAATAACAGTCGCAATAACAATCATATTCATAATCACAAACAGGACACACATCTTACATAATAATAAAAACACTAAATCACACGATTATCCTTCTCATCTTCCGCCCTCTTCTGCACTAAAAAAAGTGTTAACTGAACGCTTTTGTAAGTTGAATAAAAAAAACGGCCATAGAATATAATTCGGGTTGCATCTATGCTCGTTTAAAACTCTTTGCTCAAATTAATTTCAACCACGATTTCCATACGGCATGTTCTCTTTAATTGCGCTTTTGTGAAATTTCAAGCTTTTGGAACTATTTTGAGTATAAAAAGTTCATGGAATAAAATATAACCGAACAAAAAGGCACAGAACAGAACTGAATGAAACAGAACGGAAACGTGCTGCAATGTGCATGTGAAAGCTTGGCTCAATCAGAAGAATAACGACAGATGACACACAGTTGTAAAACATCATGTTTCACTATTTATATATATTCCATGGTTTTTTCTCGTCTTATTATTTTGTTTTCTTTTTCTCAACCGAATAAAAAACAACAACAATTACTAAATTAAAACGTGTTCAAACGGTGCCACGTAAAAATGTTGAATGTGAAATTCAAATGGAATAATTCATATGAAAATGTTGCGGCCAAGTATGTGGAATATAAATATAATGCTCATTACAAACCAGGAAAGAGATATAAAAGAGGGTGTGTAAATGGGAGAACGGAATGTTGCGGACGGAAGTGAAAATTGCATCCAAACCAGAATAATTGAAAATGATGACATTTGATGGTTTTTTTCTCTTTTTTCGGGGTGAAAAAAAAACTACTTGAAATTCCACAATAACAACGATACAAAAATTAATTTAAACATTTTCTTTCTAAAAATATAAAATAAACTTTGATACAAATAACACGCACTTCCATTGATAAAGAAATGTGATTTATTTGCGGCTGTTTAATTATTTTCACTAAACAATTCACATAAAAACATTTCGAATGAAAAGTTGGTATTCAGTGTGATTTGTTGTTGTTCATTTTTTTTCCACCATTCAATTATCTTTTATGATGCAGTGTTTTTTTCTTATCTTTTTTTTTGGCCAAGGGTATGGCCATTTTTGGTTGCGATTCGAATGAACTCATATTTATTGCACATATTGATCAATTTCTTATCGATACGCGCGAACCATTAAAATAAATATTATTACCACTTGCTAATCGGTGCTCATGGTTTCGCCCAAAATATATACAGATACATACATACAAGTGCATAGATTTTGTTTGTATAATTATATACAGAAATGACAAGTCCTGTAAATCCGAAAAACAAACTTGGGATAATATCATTACATAACACAATTTACTTCTTTTGCACTGCCACATACAACCCATTACATTTGACATATCTCTAAAACAATTCTGTTTGCATTCGGGTGTTCAATATTTACAATAGAACTTATGGATTGAATTCTTTGTGTAATATTTTTTTTTAATGAGCCGAACTAAGTGAAATTAATTAATTTCCGTTGAAATGTGTGAAAAGCCATCGGTTTTCGTTCATGACTTCCATTTCATCGAATTAATGACATCTAAAACTACAAATTTTTGTTTTTATTTATAAAAACCAAATGCAAAAAAAATGAAATCAATTAAATTTCGATTTAAAAAAAAAACATCAAATATGTATAGTATAGAACATAAAGTAAATATAATTTACGCACTGTTATTATCCACAAACGAAACATCACCAAATGAACAAAGCAATTCGATCAATCCGTTGCGATGCTTAGATCTTTCAATCAGCAAAATCACTAAACTAATTTATTCTGTCCGTTATCGAATTGCATTCGGTTCGTGCATTATTTGAAGAAATTGTGTGTGAGAATCCATCACTGTTGGGTCAAAAAAAAATTCCAAAACACTTGGCAAGCTTCAATTGTCGGGATTTATACAAAAAATGCTATAGGATCAACGGTTACCATATAATTTTGGTATTTGTATTGTTGTATGATGTGATGTGATGCAATGTTACGTAGCGTCGTACCGATGATATCAACGGAAAGAAATTTTTGTATTTTGTTCGACGATGTATATATATGTGACGCGCTCTGCTTCCGATACAAACGATGCCAATTCAATGGCATGCACATTCAAACTAAATGAATCTATCGTAAAAGACCACACGTTCGCACACAGCATATAACTTTTGTTCTGCACTTTTCTGTGTTCCACTTGGTTTCGTTGTGCAAAAGTTATAACATGCTGTGTACAATATTTGTGTGGATAGAGCTATACAGTTACTTTCAGTGCTACTGCGGCTATAGTTGAAAGCTTTTTTATTCATTTGTTGTTGCTGTTGTTACTCTTCCAATTAGATGGATAGAGGGGTGATGCCGTGTGCACGCTATTCTCGAAAAAGCTTGTCACGTATATTGCATTGAAAGGGAGGCAAATATGGAACGATTTAAACAGCTTTTTTGTCAAAAGCGCTCTGATGTGTACATATGTATCTCTCTCTCTGTGTGTGTGCGTGTGTATTTAATTGTGTTTGTGCTTGAAACTGGATGGCCCATGCACATCACTGAGCACATAGTGTGAATTGCATAAATCTTACACACCATTATCATCAACGTGAACTACATTTGGTCGCTTCTTTTTAAACCGTCTTTCACATTCCATACCACACAGCACGGTTATAGACAATTCTTCGTCACGTGCTTTTCAATTTGATGCGCAAACGCAAGCATTTATTTATATGCTTTGCAAAGTGAGAGCGAACGAAGAATAAGGAACAAAGATGATGTTGAACGAGAGAAGAAGAAGAAAAAAAAAACACACCGTTGCCAAAACAATGATAAACAGCAAAGTTCTTTCGAAAACATTTAAGGGGAAATAAATAGTAAATGTGATTTTAAATATAAGCTACTGCAATGAATTGTTATTGCTTCAGTTTTCCTTAGATCGGGTTCTTTTTTTTCCCGTTTGCAAGTCGCCTTTGTTGTTGTCGATTTTCTTCCGTATTTTCGGTTGGCTTTTTCACTGTTCGCCAACTGACGAATTGAGTGTATTTCCTAATAATGTTGTGGTCGTTGTGTAGAAAACGGTTATATAACCGCCTGATTTCGATGTTAATCCATTCTCCTTATGGCCAACCATTTGTGCTTTGTGAAGCTTCAAATATTTATGATTTGCCGGTTTCCATTCGAAATTCCAACTATTGTCTCTGTCATACACTTGCACACGAATTTCACAAAAATAATCGTAATGAATTCAAGTAACTTTGTAAGCAATTCGTAACCGTATTACATTTTGCTTGGGTAGAGAGTGTTGTGTAAGAATACTGATGTGTATAAATGTGGCTCTTTTGGCTAGCAAAACACGCAAAAATTAATGTGGATGTCATTCAGCATGAACTAATAAAACTTTTGGAAAAACGATACCCGAATCGATCGTTAGTAGATGTTGACACGAACACCTTTTACAACGTTTCACTTTCTCATATGTATACACACCAATATATATATACATATATTCATGTATATGCCATAAAGTTCTCTTGTTTTGGTTCTCTAACTCTCACTCTATCGCACACGCTTCCTCCCGCTCAAGATCAGATGCATTGCGCTTGACAATTGCATTTGGGTTCAATTTCAATCTTTTTGAATGCTTTCATTTCCTGCATTTTCAATAATACGAGCACGCTAACTCTGGCACAACACAGTTTTCAATAATATCAAAGTTTGTAATCCACACTTGTAAATGGAAAATTGGGTGAGTGGAAGAGAGAAAGAGAGAGAGAGAGAGACGACATAGTGAGGATAAAAAGGTAACGATATGACTATAGTATCATCGTATCAGTCACGAAATATTCGTTGTGTTGTTGATTGAATAAATATATGTCAACACATTTCGATCACTTTTCAACATTTTTATTCGCTCTTCAGCTTTGAAATCAATTTAATATTGGCATTCAAAATAGTCGAGCTGTTTAGCTCATCTATTGCATAGTTGTAGATGGTGTATGGGTGTGTGTGTGTGCAAAGTGTACACCAATTGACGATCTATGTGAATATCAAAAGAAATTGCATCGAAAGGAGTCCACTTATTCAATCATGAATCTAACAGAAGCGTGTGATTTCGAGTTTCATAACGATAAATCAACAACTAATGCAAACAACTAGTCAAAATCAGACTTTGATCAAGTATGCCATTTCCATAAAGTTGAAATGCTTACTTATGCATTTTTTCAGCGATACAATATACCTATGAATCTTTTTCAAAACTGGACTGAAATCGAAAAAAGACTCACAGAACTAATATACAAGTCCAAAAATTTTAAATAAACAAACTCAGAAGAAGAAAAAGTTTTGAACGAAAAACAACGATTTAAATATTGAATTTCGCTTCGGCTTATTGTTTTTTTTTATTTGCTTAGGAAGATAAGAAGATTTTAAGTTTTTTTTTCTTCATTTTCTCACACTGATTCTCTTTGTCTATCTTTGGATATCTATTCGATATAAAAAAAGAATCGAAGAAATTGAGAAAAAAAGGTACAAAGAATGAACAAAATATTGATGTTAAATAAAGCATATGAATCGAGTGTTTATTTCCTATTATGTTCAGCTTAATGCACTCATTGAAAGCGGAACGATTCGAATAAATATAAAACGAACTTACAATGAAAAAAAAGGTAAAATGTGTACTCACATCATATCATTTTACACTCTGCGCCACCTCTGCAGGGCGCGTTTGTTAACTCCGTTTTGGCCATACAACATTTTTTTTTTCGGTATGTTACGAGATGAAGGAGGAAATCAGGAAATTCCTTAAAAGGATCGTTTGTTTTGCTCTTTCCATTTCTCTCTCGCTCTCTCATCTCTAACTCTTACCCGCTCTCGTCATCGTTATTGTTGGTTATTGTCGGTTGTTGATGGTATTATAGTATGGTTTATGTTTTGTAAGGTCGATCAGAATAAAACCATGAATGCATGGGCTATTCCATACAATGTGAGATGAACTTTTTGAAATGCAATAGCAAGCTCAACCGAAACAACACTACCACACATGCACACCACTACCCTATCAAATCAAACAAAAAATATCGACAAGAAGCAAATAAAGTACGAAAATGCTCAAATATTGACAAACTTTCTTTTCACATTCAATTGGAATTTTCAGTATTTTTTTTTTCACCAAGTTCATCTTGATATCTGATGCTCTGAACTCTTTTATATTCTTTTTATGCACTTTTGAACGGCCACTGATGGAAAGTAAAAGTCGTCGATTGAAGAGAAGCAACAAAAAAATGCGGAAATGGCAGTGTGTTAGGCAATAGAAGTTTTGTATTGGCTTTGTTGAAAATGTTCAAGTTTCGTTCATTGAGCTGAAAGCTGAACATTCGAATCGGGTCATCAAACGATGTATCAATATTTTATGCGTCTGATTGAGTTCGTTAAAATGAGAATCGTAATGATTTCATTCGCTACTGGCTTTGATACTTTGCTAAAAATCAGTGTTACTCTCTTTATGTATTTATGTATTGAATGGTATGTGTTTGGAATTGAACAAGCAAACGAACAAATTTTGAATGACGTTACAACTATATAGACAAAAATCGGTATGTTTTCGTTTGCCGGCAACACAATTAAAATTAAACTAAAATTATTGTGCAGATAGGTAGTTGTGACAAATGCAAATCCGAAGCTAGGTGAATATGCTACATCACGCAACCAATTTGTGGTTTGCACACAAATGTCCATGAAGTACCAAATGTGTTTACACCACAAATCGCATAAGTTCGCTAGTCTAACGCAATCCCGGCTGTTGCCATTGTCCAAAAATTTACAACAAATTATAATAACATGTTCAAATATGTTCTTAAATTGGATATTTCGTCGACATAACAATATTCTTTTAGCATTTTACACAACGATCGATCGTTGTCTTACCGTTTGCTATTTAACATTTCGATGTCGGTCGATGTTTAATTTGCCATATCAAATCACTAAATGTAGGTGGCGCTATAAAAATGTAAGAGAATATCAATGCCAGTTCATATGATTCAAAATATGATGTTTAATTTTATGTTAGTCTTGTATCTGTTCATTACAACTTCTGGAAAATTTAACAATGCGAAATTCCAATCTTCGGATATTGGCTGAACGGAACTGATCAAAGTGCTTCGTGCTTTTGGAACATTTGGGTTAAACTGCGTCCACATGGACATACAAATGTACATATATATACTTATATATGTCAACTAACGCGTTCGTAAAAAGAAATGTTCGTTCGTATAAAAAAAAAATTGGTTTGCGTTCGTAAAGATAGCCACTATGAACGAACATCTTCATTCTCAAAGTGTTAAAACGAACGAACACGAATATGAACGTTCGTTGACATCTCTACGTACACAGCCAAAATTAACATTGAAATTTTTTTTTGAATGCGAAGTTATTTTGGCTTTTGAAACGATGCCATCGTCGTGTATTCAGCATGCAATCATATTTTATTTAGACGGTTGGTGAGCTGCATCGTAATTCACGGTTTTGGAATATACAATTTTTTTTTCTTCTCGTGCAATCTATAACATTGGCGCTCCAATTTATCGGTGATTTCCGAGCATAATATCCGTGGCCGTGATCAGATCTTGGTTTAAGTTTTTTTTCCTCATCTGTTGTGTCGCAACCACGAGCCCATGATTCATCATTTCTTTGCAAAGAATCGAAAGTCGAACATTAGATTTATGGAGCACAAGCTGCAGCAGCAACAGCGAAACTAACGAAAAAAAAGAACAATATTTTATGCGAAGAATTTTTTTCTCTATCTTGCATCGTATGTGCAACGAACCAAAGATCTAGTTCCATCATCATGTAAATAATGTATTGCCAATAACCTTTATTCAATGGAACGCACCGTCTTTTCCCAAAGCATCTTCATAGACCTTCTATATGCACTAATGCAAGAATTTACTTTTGAAAGCGTAACTTTAATGCTTTCTTCTTCTTCTTCTTCTTCTTCTTATTTTTCTCTTTTCTAATGTAGAATTTCAACAGTCATTAAATCAACGAATGCGCACCACAAAGACGAAATGTGATGCTGTTGCAATTTTCAAATGGAAATGCAGAATATGCCAGAATAATAGAAATTTTGAAAAA